AGCAGGCAGACACAAAGTTGTTTTAACATCTCCTCTAAAGGACGGCTCCTCCAACAAGGTTCCCCAGCACTGCACTGTTGGCTTAGATTGCGATCACAAATCACAGTCTGAGATCTCCACTTTAAGCAACATGAATCTGAGAATGGCAAGTTAGAGCAGAGGTTAGGTCCCTGGCTGGTAAAATGAGCAGCTCAGTCACCAAGTGTCTTATGTTACATTGAGCTGAGCAGAGCCACCAGGTCTGTGTTACACTGAGCTGAGCAGAGTGCAGTTAATACAGGGAGCACAGCATTAATGGAAAGCAGGACCCCAGCACTGGCAACGGGGTCACAAGCAAAGTCAAGGATTTTGTTCAAGTGAAAGAAAACAACTTTGTATGAACGTGATTTACAGAGAGAGAGAGAAAAAGAGAGGAAAAAAAGAAGGTAAACAAATAGTTTGGAGGCGAGGGTTCATGAACAAGGCAGTCAGGCTCCAAAGAGAAAATGGTAGAGTTCGCAGACTCAGCATTGAACTGTTCAAATATTCATCCACAAACAGCATTCCGTTCTCCAACCAAACCTACGCACATGGGAATGGATGTGACTGACAGGCTGTCATCTGACCGAGGGCTGCAAATAAATACAATAATAATAATAATTTGGTCACTCAATCCACGACTGTTTGTGGAACATTGCTGTGCGCAATTGGCTGTCGCGTTTAGCCCACAAAATATACAGTCAATTTATTTTACAGTCCATCCTGTGAAACGTTATGAGACGTCTCAATAATGTGGTTAAGCATTATAGCAAATACAAGTATTATTATTATTATATGGTTGATATGGAAAGCAGTGAGGTGGATTTGTGGTAAACATGGGAAGCGGTTACAGGGAAGGGAGGGCTCCAACCTACCATTGAGCTCCCTGGGGGCGGAGTCATCTTTACAGTGGACACCTCTTTTTGCCAAGGCCCCTCGCACGAGAACCTGGATTAAGCAGCTGGTGCTGAGTAAGCCTGGTATGACAGTTGAGGGTCGAACAAGACGCCCAGGTTCCTGACTGGCGGTGAGGTGGAGTGTGAATCTGTGGATAGAGAGCAGATTCAGCTAATGCCATGATTTATAACAAGTTATAAATAGGAACATTTTTGGAAATTTGCTACATTGCAGAAGTCAACGGTGCTAAAGTGCAGACATTCCCCCAAATAATATCATCCATTCATTTTGTGGCTCTTTATGGGCCATTGCTGTGTACAAATTGGCTGTAGTGCTCGCCTACAAAATACACGCATTACACTTTACAGTAAATACTGTGAAGTGCTTTGAGACATCCTTCTGGCGTGAAAGGTGCTGCATCAGATATTATTATAAAGTTCTCCAAAAAATAATATTGATTTGGTACTCAATCCACAACTGTTTGTGGGGCACTGTGGGCGCAATTGGTTCCTGTGTTTCGTGCACAAAACATACAGTCAATTCACTTTACAGTATATTCTGTAAAGTGCTTTGAGACGTCTTGAAGACGTGATAAGGCGCTATATCAAATGCAAGGATTATTATTATGTCCACAGCAAGTTACACACTGGGAGATCATCCCAAAATGATTGACACTGCGGATTGAGCACTCAAGCTGGGTGGGAGCTGAAGTGGGGGCGAAGGGACAAATAGGTAGGTCCTGACAGTGATTTTGAATGAATAGAGGGAGGCAGGAAAGGAATAAGTCAGAGGGAGTCCAGGTTGGAGTTCCATGTAGCAAGGTCAAGTTAGAGTTTCTGCTTTTCCTGAATCTCATCCATTTAATTCACAAAATGCTGTGGAGTTCAAAGCAAAGTGAAGATCAGGATGTGTTAGAATCTCAATGAACATTGGGCCTGTGATTGTTTAAAGCTCTTATTATAGAATCATAGATTATACAGCACAGGAGGTCATTCAGCCTTTCGTGTCTGTGCCGGCTCTTTCAAAAGAGCCTCCCAAATCAATCCCACTCTCCCGCTCTCTCCCATAGCCCTGCAAACTTGTCCTCCTCCATAAATTATCTACTTCTCTCTTAAAAGTTGTTATCGAATTGGCTTTCACCACCCTTTCAGGCAATGCATTCCAGATCGAAACAATTCGCTGTGTGAAAAAATTTCCCCTCACCTCCCCTCTGTTTCTTTTAACATCTACTTTAAATCGGTGCCCTCGAGTTACCGACCCACCCACCAGTGGAAATAGTTTCTCCTTGTTCACCCTATCAAATCTTCTCGTAATTTTGAAAACTTCTATTAAGTCTCCTCCAAACTTCTCTGCTTCAAGGAGAATAATCCCAGCTTCTCCAGCCTCTCCTGATAACTGAAATACCTCATTCCTGGTACCATCCTGGTAAATCTCCTTTGCACCCTCTCCAATGCCTTGACATCCTTCCTAAAGTGTGGGCCCAGAACTGAATACAATAGAACTGAACTAGCTGAGGCCTAACCAGTGTTTTATAAAGAAAACAAAAACAGAAGTTGCTAGGAACTCTCAGGTGTTCCCAGCGACTTCTGTTTTTGTTTTCAGATTTCCAGCATCTGCAGTATTTTGTGTTTAGTGTTTTATAAAGGTTCATCATAACTTCATGACTTTTGTATTCTATGCCCCTATTTATAAAGCCAAGTATCCCGTATGCTGTTTAACAGGTTTACCTACCTGTGCTGCCACCTTCAAAGATTTACCTATATGAACCCTCAGGTCTCTCTGTTCCTTCACCCCTTTAAGATTGTACCATCAGTTTATATTGTCTCTCCTCATTCTTCCTCCCAAAATGCATCACTTTGCATGTTTCCACATTAATCTTCATCTGCCCCCTGTCTGCCCATGTTACCAGTCTGTCTATGCCCTGCAGTCTGCTACTGTCCTCCTCACTGTTTACTACTTTTCCTAACTTAGTATCATCTACAAACTTGGAAATTGTACTCCCTGTACCCAAGTCCAGGTCAGTTATATAGATCAAAAACAGCAGTGATCTTAATCCTGACTCTGGGGGACACCACTGGACACTTCCCTCCAGACAGAAAAATGATTGTTCACCACCACTCTCTGCTTTCTGTCTCCCAGACAGTTCTGTATCCGCTGCCACTGTCCTTTTAATACTGTGGGCTTCTATTTTGCTTACAAGTCTCTTATGTGGCACTTTATTAAATGCCTTTTGAAAATCCATATAAACTACATCAACTGCAGGACCTTCATCCACCCTCTCCGTTACTTCATCAAAAAACTCTTTCAAGTTTGTGAAACACGATTTGCATTTAACAAATCTGTATTGGCTGTCCTTTATTAACCTATATTTTTCTAAGTGAAAATTTATCTTGTCCCAGATTATATAGTCTCTAGAAGTTTCCTCAGTACTGATGTTAGGCTGACTGGCCTGTAGTTCCCAGGTTTATCCTTCTGCCCCTTTTTGTACAGGGGAGTAACATTTGCAACCCTCCAGTACTCTGGCACCAACATAGCATCCAAAGGTGATTGAAAGATTGTGGCCAGAGCCTCTGTTATTTCAACCCTTACTTCCCACAGAAATCTAGGATGCATCCGACTTATCTACCTTGATCAATGACAAGCTTTTTGGTACATCCTCTCAGCTTATTCTTATCTTATCCAATTTTTCTACCTTCTCCTCCGATACTGTGGTATTGGCTGCATGCTCTTCTTTTGTGAGGACAGATGCAAAGTACTCATTCATTACGTCAGCCATGCCCTCCACAAGAAGATTTCCTCTTTGGTTCCTAATTGGACCCACCCTACCTTTGACTAACCTTTTATTCTTTATATGCTTACAAAATACCTTAGGGTTCCTTTTATGTTACCCGGTAATCTTTTCTCATACGATCTCTTTGCCCTCTTATTTCCTTTTTCAGTTCTTCTCTGTACTTTGTACTGGGAATGTGTTTGGTCTGCTCCTGGACTATCTCCTGCTTGAAAACTTCCCATTGCTGTTTTATCTGCCAATCTTTCCTTCCAGTCCACCTTGGCTTGGTCCCTTTTTAACTCACTGAAATTAGTCCTCTTCCAGTTGAGTATCTTCACCTTTGATTGTTCCTTGTCCCTTTCCATACACACTCTAAACCTAATGATGTTGTGATCACTGTTGTCCAGCTGCTCTCCTACTGAAACCTGTTCCACTTGCCCCACATCATTCCCCAGAACTAGATCCAGCACTGTTTCCTTCCTCGTTGGACTGGAAACATTATGATCCAGAAAGTTATCCTGCACACATTTCAGGAATCCTACCCCTCCTTGCCCTTTACATTGTTATTTTGCCAGTCTATGTTAAGATAATTGAAGTCCCCCATTATCACTACTCTATTGGTTTTGCATCTTTCTGAAATCTGCTTGCAGATTTGCTCGTCTACCTCCTTCCCACTATTTGGTGGTCTATAGTATACACCGAACAGAGTAACAGTTCCTTTTCTGCTGCTTAACTCTAACCAAGTAGATTCTGGTTTTGGACCCTCCAGCACATTGTCCCTTTCCAGAGCCGTAACTGTGTCTTTAATCAATATTGCCACCCCATCTCCTTTTATTGCTTCCCTATCCCTCCCGAATACATTGTCGCCAGGAATATTTAGCTCCCATTCAACTTGATCCTGCAGCTCGCTAATCTTATTTGTCACACTCCGTGCATTTACGCACATGCACTCCAAGACTGACTGAGTCTGCATTTCTCCCCCATCTAATCCCTCCTTTTTCTGGACTACTCCTTATTTCATTGCTATTCGTCTCTCCCAACCTTCTATGTAACTTGTGATGTCCTCCCGACGTGAAAGGCGCTATACAAATGTAATCTTGTTGTTGTTGTCCTCTCTGATGCTACATCCCGATTCCCTTCCCACCTTGAAATTAGTTTAAACCGTTACCCACAGCACCAGTTAAACTCCTTGTGAGGACATTGGTCCTAGCCCTGTTCAGGTGTAACCCATCCACCTTGTACAGGTCCCACCTGTCTTGTCTTGTGAAAGACACTATAGAAATGTAATTTTGTTGTTGTTGTCTTGTCTTGACAGTGATTTGCAGCCGTGTTGAGGACACAGAGCAGACTCCCTCCACCCTACCCCTCCTCATTTCATCGCTATACGAGGTGACTGGAATGGAGTGCGTGCAGGGAGACAAGGAGCCGGATGCGGTGGAGATGATCCCAAACGGGAATCATATGGAAGATTTGACCGTTCCCATAAAAGTGCCCACGGAGCAGGAAAGGTCAGTGACTGGCAACATCTGTGGTTTAATATGTGGTGATGATTCAGCACTGAGTCAGAAGGTTGTGGGTTCAAGCCACCTTGGGGACTTTGAGCCCACAGTCAAGTCGGAGCGTTGCATTGTCAGAGCTGCGATCCTTCATATGAGATGTTAAACCAAGTATCCATCTGCCTGATCAGGTTAGAGATCCCATAATACATAAATAATAATAATCCTTGCATTTGATATAGCGCCTAATCACATTGTTGAGACGTCTCAAAGTGCAGAATAAACTGTAAAATGGATTGACTGTATATTTTGTGGGCGAAACGAGGCAGCCAGTTTCATGTAGCAATATCCCATAAACAGTCATGGACTGAGTGACCAAATAATTTTTTTTTGAAGGGATTATTTCCCCCAAAATGCGATCTGCCAATCAACTTAATTACTGGGTTCCTACTTACTGCTAGGTGTGTGGAGTAAGGAAACATGTCTCAGGGAATCAAACCCAAGTCCTCTCACTTGAGGAGTGAGTGCTCTAACCAATACGCTACAGGACTCCATATGCCATGGCACTATTCAAAAAGAGAAGGGAGTCTCTCTCTCCCAGTGTCCTGGCCAACAATCCCCCAAGTAAAACTAGTCACTCACTCCATGGCTGTTTGTGGGACATTGCTGTGCGCAAATTGGCTGCCATGTTTGCCCACAAAATACACGGTCACTACACTTCACAGTATATCCTATGAAGCGCTTTGGGACTTCCTTCTGATGTGAAAGGCTCTATTATCAAATGCAAGGAGTTTTATTATTATTACTTGTGTTGTAAGAGATTTAGATGGAGACGACCAATACAGTGGTGTAATAATCCAAGGTTTATTAAGTAATACAAATAGCTTAATTTATTCTTAAAACTGAGACCATAGATACAGTAGAATCGATATTAATTTCACTGGGAAGTGTGCTGACCCTCTACACAACTCCCAACGATTCGAACATTACCTCTTTCATTTATACCCCAATTGAGCCCATGTGACCCTTACAACCAAAAATGGAATTCAAAGGTTGTTTTGTCCAATCAGATCCAAAATTCGATTAACCAATCATATTCCCAGACTGGTCCATCCAATCCCGTTTCCTTACTCAGGGTACCCCATAGGTTATCAAGGTTTAATCTCGGGAATTTGAGAGTTGTTCTCGAAGTCTCTGTTACCAAGTGTGAAAAGTTCACTCCGGCAGTTAATGGTTTTAATTGACACCTTAAACTCATAAAATCTTCTCCCATCCAGACTGCAAAGCACCAATTTTCCAAATAAGTAGAAAGGAACTAAACCCATCCATCAAGTTTTGATCAAACTTGTCACAGAACCCAAACACACAGACCTCAACTCCCCTTTCTGGTCCACGTTTTGTAACACATTCCTTAAGATCAATCAAGATATTGTTCTCAGTCCTTATACACATCTGAGTATCAAACTTTATTCCCTGTCAAGATTTCTTCATAATAACAATAATCCTTGTATTTGGTATAGCGCCTTATTACGTCTTTGAGACTTCTCAAAGCACTTCACAGAATATACAACAACAACAAAGTTATATTTATAGAGCCCCTTTCACGTCGGGAGGACGTCCCAAAGCGCTGAACAGTCAGATGTCGGGGCCCGAGCATGGGGGAGGGGTGATGTAGAGGTGAGGGAAGGCAGAAAGGTGGGAGGGAGACCAAAGGAACGGTCGAAGAGAAAGGTCAGTGCCGGTTATGGCGCGGATTTGGGTGAGAAAGGACAGTTCATGGTCAAGTAAGACACCCAGGTTCCTGATTGGCTTAATGAGGTTGTGTGCAGCAGTGGATGCTGATGCTGCCAGCGCCCGAGGTGCAGAGGTGCTGGCGCGAGCCAATCAGGAGGGCCTCGGCCTTGCTGACGTTGAATTGGAGAAAGTTGTCCCTCGTCCAGGACTTGATGTCGGACAAGCAGTCGGTCAGGACGCCAGTAGTCCTGGAGTTAAGGGCGGAGGCTAAGAGGTAGAGTTGGGTGTCATCCGCATACATGTGGAAATTTACCCCATGTCTGCGGATGATGTCACCAAGGGGAGCATGTGAAGAGGAGGGGACTAAGGACAGAGCCCTGAGGAACACTGCATAAGACAGTGTGAGGGATGGAGGAGAAGCCATTTGCCGCGACAAAGTGGAGGCGGTGTGAAAGGTAGGACCTGAACCAGTCAAGGACAGAGCCTTGAAGGTTGAGGTGGGAGGAGAGGCCGTGGAGGAAGATTGAGTGGTCCACGGTGTCAAAGGCGGCGGAGAGGTGGAGGAGGACGAGGAGACAGAGGGAGCCCTGGTCACACATGTTCAGGTTGTCGTTTGTGACATTGACCAGAGCACTGCTCTGTGGGCAGCACGGAAACCCGATTGGAGGGTTTCATGGAGGGAGTGTGAGGAGAGGAAAGAGCGAAGCTGGGAGGCAACGGCTCTCTCAAGGACCTTGGATAGAAAAGGGAGGTTTGAGATGGGCCGGTAGCTGGATAGCTGTGATGGGTCAAGGGAAGGTTTCTTCAAGGTGGGGGTGATAGTGGCTGTTTTGAGAGGGGAAGGAACAGTGCCGGATGACATGGAGAGGTTCATGATGTTGACGAGTAGTGGGGCAAGGAGGTGGAGCTGGGATTTAAGGAGAAGGGTGGGGATGGGGTTGAGGGAGCAGGTGGTGGATTTCATGGAGGTTGCCGTGTTGAAGACAGAGGAGGGTGTGACAGGTTCAAAGGTGTGGAAGGAGGGATGGGTAAATGTCGGATGGGTAATTGTGTGGGGTGGGGGTAAGGAAGGGTTGGAAGTTGGGGGGCAGTGGCAGCTGAGCGGATTCCCTCGACTTTGGACTCAGAAGTCCAGCATTTTCTCGCAGTGAGAATCGGAGGAAAGTATCTGCGAGGTGTGGCGGGGAGGAGCCTGTTAGTGGTGGAGAACAGGAGCCTGGGATTGCCCTTCACCTCCAGGATTAACCATGGAATAGAAGGATGATTTATTTGGCTGAGGCAAGAGCAGAGCGGTAGCTCTTGATGAGGTCCAGCCAGATGTGCCGGTGGACCGTTAGGCCGGATTTGAGCCAAGTGCATTCGACAACCTTCACTTAGCCCTTAAGCGAGTGGAGGTGGCTGGTGAACCAGGGTGAGGAACGGGAATAGGAGGCAGTTTGGGAGGTGAGGGGGGCAAGGACGTTGAGTGTGGTGGAGAGGGTGCTGTGGAGAAGAGTGAGTGCAGTGAGTGGATTGTTGCGAGAGGTGGGCCAGAGGGGGATGAATTCAGAGGACTCCAGGCAGCAGAGAGGGATTGCGGGGAGATCTTCTTCCACGGGCGGTAGAAGATAGTGGTAGGTTTGGAGACAGCGGGGAGAGGGATATAGGAGTTGAGGGAGATTAAATGGTGGTCAGAGATGTCCTTGTCAGTGATGGTGACATCTGAGACGCTGAGTCCCCGGGTGATCACCAGGTCTGTAAAGTGAATTGACTGTATATTTTGTGGGCGAAACACGGCAGCCAATTCCGCACAGCAGTGTCCCACAAACAGCCGTGGATTGAGTGACAAAACTTTATTATTATTTTTGAAAGGGATCATTACTCCCAGGAAAGTGATCTACCAACCAGGTTGCTGCTTACCTTTAGGTAAACAGAGGTGTGTGGAGTAAGGAAACTTGCTTTACGTTTCGCCCTGCCAGGAATCTAACCCAGGTCTTCTCGCTTGCAAGGTGAATGCTCTAACCACCAAGCTACAGGACTTTGTATTGTTTTTATATTAACTTTAGGACCTTTGCTGCCTCCTCTGATTCTGCAGTTTCCCCAACAGACATCATACTCAGGCTGTACAATGCTTTAGTCAGATCAAACCTAGAGTACTGATTACAATTCTGGTATGTCCAGAGGCAGACACCAGGAAACTTTATTTTACCCAAAGAGTCATGTAACTCTTTTACACTGGGTCTGCAAATCTAAGTACAAGTTAGTTGTTTTCAAAATTGTCTTAAGTCCGGCTCATTGTCAGTTTCCACCATGATGTGAGCCCGGGGTGAGGGGAGAATAACAAATAACAACACCAAATTACATTTGTGTAGCACCTTTCATGTCAGAAGGACGTCCTAAGATGCTGAAGGAAGAGGGTGGGCAGCACAGAGGAGATGAACGCTTGGACGTGGCACCTTTGATTAAAGATTTGATGTTTAGCAGGAATTTCACATTTTCACAGTTTTCCTCTCGCTCTCACCTGTAGGTACGAGGAAACCGAGGGCAACACAGCGGAGTGTGATGAGTTTCTGCCTCACCCAGAGACCGGCAAGAAATCAACGCGATTCATGGATGTACGTGTCTCCGCAATGAATATTGACTTTTTTTCCATCTTTAATTGGGGGGATTTTCCCCTGGTTTTCAGTGATCTTCTTGCCTCCAAGATGACTGACCTCTGGCTCGCCACAAGGTCACTTCCTGCATGACAAGGACAGGCAACACAGCTCATGCCACTGGGCAGGAAGTTAGGCATTTGCTTTTCTCAAAACGATAAAAAAGTGAAAATCTGACCATCCAAGGGTTCAAGCAATGTGTGATTGAACAAGTCTGTCTCAATTTTGTTTCTTTCGTTGATCTCATTTGCCGATTTACCTTGACGTTCACCTGGGCAGTGTTTCGGATCGTTTAACAATGGCAGACTTTGAGCCTGAGCTGGGGAGAGAGGGTAGGTGACCGTAGGCCACGGTCAAAGAGGAAGGCTTCAGGTGTGGTCTGAAGATGGGCAAGAGAATTCCAGATTCCTGGGGTGTAGTGGCCGACAGCATAGCTACCAATGGTGGAGCGGAGGGGATGAGGGACCCCTTGTCTCTTGGTACCTAAGGGCGAGAATGAGGTTGAAACCTGTGTGACTATTTAACTATTGCATTTCTTTTGCAGTTTGAAGGGAAGACTTCATTCGGGATGTCAGTGTTTAACCTGAGCAATGCCATCATGGGCAGCGGCATCCTGGGTCTCGCTTATGCCATGGCGAACACTGGCATTATTCTCTTCCTGTAAGTACATATTTCACATCAGGTCACCTCCACCATATTTCCTGCTCTCCTCTGGTTTACAGAACCAGTCAGTAACCTATCCTTGTCTCTATGTCAGGAATTTCACACTCTTTGAGCGCCAAGTGTAATCACAGTTTAAAGTGTCGACCTGTCTCAGTTGGTAACACTTTCACCTCTGGGTCTGGAGGTTGTGGGCATAGAGCATTGAGCGCATGGTCCAGGCTGATACTGATAGGCGGTGATGAGGACATGACATTGCTGAGGATTCCTTAGTTGTTCCTCAGCTGAGGTGTTAAACACAGATCCCATCTGTCTGTTCTTCAGAAGGAACATTAAAGAGCCATTTGATATCATCAGAAAAGAGAAAGGACTTTCTCCCAAACATTCTGGCCAACAAACCTTCTGATAATTAGATGAAGAGTGGAGGGAAATGCAATGGATGCAGTGTATTTGCAATCCAGACAATGCTGCTTTCACATTTCTCCCATTTAAATTGGCTGCATCTTTCGTTTACAAACACATCTCAAAGATAAGGCGGGGATAATAATACTTTCAAAAAACAATTGGTCACTCAATCCACGACTGTTTATAGAAAACTACTTTGCGCAATTGGCTGCCGCGTTTCGCCAACAAAAATATAGTCAATTTACTTTACAGTATATTCTGTGAAGCACTTTGCGACGTCTCAAATACGTGTGCAAGGATTATTATTGTTATATCAAAATATTATAATATTACTATTATTATCTCATTTAAAATACCACTATTGGAAAATATTGGAAAAGTATTGGAAAAATGGAGTTTCTCCCGGAGTCCTGGCTGACAACCTGCTAGATAAATTGGTCACTCATATTGTTGCTGTTTGTGGGACATTGCTGTGCGTAATTCGGCCATGTTTGCCCACAAAATACAGTCACTGCACTTGACAACCACTCCCTGGAAAGCATTTTGAAATGTTTTTATTTTAAAGGGTTATTTTTAAGCGTCTGTTTGTGAGCGCCAGGGAGACAGACACTACACTCACCAGGTATACACACACAGAGGTGCTTAGACCAGTCCGAGCCAGTCATGTGTGGATCAGTCCACAAAAAGGTGCTGAGTGACAGGCTGAGTGGTGTCTTGTGCAGAACTCACTGCTGATCTGCCTTAAGTGAGTGGCCTGATCAGTGGGGTTGAAAGAGGTTGCGAGGGTGGGGTGGGGCGAGATGATGGAGGGATCTAAGGGGAGAACGAAGATCTTGAACTCGTATCCAGAGAAAAGAGAGAAATTTAGCAGCTCTCATTGGAATATGTGGAGTCCTATAGCTCAATGGTTAGAGCCCTCGCCTCGCAAGCGAGAGACTTGGGTTCGATTCCCAGCAGGGCAAATCCTTGGGCAAGTTTCCTTACATCACAAACCTGATAATAATTCCTGAAGAAAAAAAATAATAAATTTGTTACTTCAATCCACGACTGTTTATGGGACACTACTGTGCGCAATTGGCTGCCGTCTTTTGCCCACAAATATACAGTCAATTCACTTTACAGTCTAATCTGTGAAGCACTTTGAGACGTCAAGAAGACGTGAAAAGCTCTATATCAAATGCAAGGATTATAATTATTAATAATATTTCCTGTTGAATTTAAATATGTTCCTAATTTCTCAAAGTACTAATGACATATTAGCAGAGAGGTTTTACACATTGTACAGATGCTAATATTTAAGATCTAGGCTTAACATAGGCTGTCTCAGTGTCAGAGTAAAGAGCTGCCGAAGGAAAACCTCAAAGGATGACTCATCACAAAAAAAAGTCCCAATTAGTTTAAGTTGTCCATTATGTTTGCGTATATTTATTATTGTCGATGGTTCCACATCATAAACTCCCAGTCAGTGCAGACTGAAAACTTCAGTGTGCCCAGCTGGCTCAGTGTGTAGCTCTCTCACACTCAGTCAGAAGGTTGTCGGTTCAAACCCCAGGTCAAGATGTGAATCTAAATAGTCTAGGGTGACACTCCAGTGCAGTGCTGGGAGGGTGCTGATCTGTCAGAGGTTGTCTTTTGGATACAATTTTAAACCAAGGTCTCATCTGTTCAGGTGGATCCCATGGCAATGTTCAAAAAGAGAAGGGAGTTTCTCTCTCCCTGTGCCCTAGCCAACAATCACCCAGATAAAATTGGTCACTCACTCCATGGCTGTGAGCAATTGGGCTGCCGTGTTCACCCACCTAACACACAGTGGCTGTACTTTACAGTAATCCTGTGAAGCGTTTTGAAGTGTCCTCCCAACGTGAAGACACTGTAGGTAAGGATTATTTTTCAGTAATCGTGGGGATGCAGTCAGACGTTTCTCAAGCCATTGGGAGTGATCCAATCATTAGGTTAATGAATCACTGCTGATACCAGTTCCATTCACTTTATGGCTGTTTGTGGGACATGTTCTTTCTCATTCCATCTTCACCCCGAACTAATCTTTTTCTAGAATACAATTTTTGGGACTTGCTTTTAGTCTCTTTCTTCCTCAATTACTCAGAAGTGATTATACTGCAGGAGACATACGCTTCACAACAGACGTGCAACTACGCACCACTGCATGCCTTACGCACAATAATCTGCCCTCACGGCTGCCCTGGTACGCTAATGGCTCAGGATGAGCCAGGGCAGGGCGAGGAAGCCAATGTAAGTCTATGTTTTTTGTGATCTTCTTAGGACAGAAGATTAAGAAAGTAGACTTAGAGAAACATATAGGGAGATATAAGCTGCTTATTCAGAGAGTGCTTAGAATAAACAGACCCAGAAGTTAATCACAGTGGAAAACTTCAGTTATTCCTCCAGTAAGTTTATTTGGTTTGGACACACGGTACACTGAGTGGCATTCTGTGTGTGCTGTTAATGGGGTTAATGTGTTAGCACTCTCGTCTCTGGAGCAGAAGGCTTTGAGACTCACAGCCCAGGCTGATACAGAGATATTAAACCCATACAACAACTGCTTGGGGCTCAAACCTACAACCTTCAGACGCAAAGATGAGTGTGCGAATGCCTCGGCCTTGCTGGTCTCTGAGAGTATTGTGATCCAGGGAAGCTTCTCAAGGTTGGACAGGAAGTCCATTCTCATGGACGTGCTCCCTGATCACATGAGCAGCACACAGTTTGGCAAGAGCTAAGGCTTGGGGATGTTTGTTGGGATCCTACTGGAGTCTAACCAGCTAAAACTGCATAGCTTGTCATTGATATTGCTGTCTGGCAAGCTTTCCCGCTTGAACAGCTAGGACCACCCTATCCGTTAGGGCTTTGGCTTGCAGGGTTAATAGGAGCTAAGTAGGATGACTCCCTGCCCATAGTGACTGGTCTGGCCTACTAGGGCTTATGATGAGCCCTGGAAGGGGCCGTACAGCACTAAGTGCCGTGACAGCGGGTCCCCAGGGACCAACCACAAGAGCAGCCAGTCCATCTGTTCCCAGACGGCCTTTGCGTACTTGCATTCCAGGAGGAGGTGTTCCACCATCTCCTCACCTCCACAGCCTTCCTGAGGGCATCATGTGGTGGCAGCAAGGTCCCAGCGGTGCAAGAAAGACCTGACGTAGAGCACCTTTTTTATTGTCAGCTAGGCCATGTCTTGATGTTTGTTGGACTAGGCCGGTGGCGAGGCATTATGCCAGATGTCTCTGATGGTCCCCCTGGGTGGGGTACCCCTCAATTAGGTCCATCCCCTCCCCCTCTCTAACGGTCCTCACCAGCTCTCGCACGGATCACTGGGTGATTGGTCGCGGGTCTGTGATATGGTGAGATGTGAATCTCTTGATGTACAATAGGTGTTTTGGCTCCAGCTGTTTGGAGCATTCCGAGGCAGTTCTACCAAACCTATCATGTAGCAGCATTTGCTGCCAGTATAGCGGGGCTCCAGCCACAGCCTCAAGCAGCTACGCACAAAGGTGGCCATGAAGATCAGGGCAACATTGAGGACACTCTTGCTTCCCATGTCCGGGGTCTTGAGGAGTGAGGTCCTGCAGACATGCTCCACCTTGGATCCCCAGACAAAGTGGAAGATTTCTCGGGTGACCTTTGAGGCGCTGGTCGGAAGTATGAGCCAGATTTGCGCCATGTGCAGCAGCACCGAGAGTGCCTCACACCTGATCACCAGGTTTTTCCTGGTGATGGACAGTGAGCGCTGGTGCCACATTCTCAGTTTCTTCCTCACCATCTCTAGACACTCCTCCCAGTTTATGTGCTCTGCCCCTGTAGCCCCGAGCTAGATGCCAAGGACTTTGATGCCTGACCGCAAATGGGATATCTGTGCGGTCATGCCAGTTACCAAAGTATAAAACCTCGCTTTTCTGATGGTTTACTTTGGCGTCTGAAACTCTTTCAAAGTGGTTGTGATGCCCAGCAGGTTTGTGACTGAGCAAAAGATGGTGACGTCATCCAAGTACAGGGAGACCTTGGCTTGTGTGCTGTGGCTCCCCGGCATGGTGATACCTCTAATGCTTTCGTCCCTCCTGATGGCCTGAACAAATGGCTGTATGCAGCAGACAAATAGAGCCGGGGCAGGGGACAATCCTGCCTGACTCCAGACCTGATGGGAATGCTTGCATCTCAACTCCATTCACTGTGACTCCGCTACAAATGTCTCTGTACAGCAGCTGGTTCCAGTTCTAAATTCCCTCCCCAAAACCCATTTTGGAGAGCACCTCAAACATGTAGTCGTATGACACTCTGCCGAAGGCTTTCTCCTGATCAAGACTGATCAGGCAGACGTCCATCTCCCTTTCCTGCATGTAAGCAATGATATCTCTGAATAGCGCGAGGCTATCCGAAATTCTTCGGCCTGGAACCATGCAGGTTTGGTCAGGGTGGATCACCTGCCCAAGTACAGTCTTGATCCGCTCAGAAATCACCTTGGCCAGGATCTTGTTATCCAAATTGAGCAGTGTGATTGGCCGCCATTTCTTAATCTCTTCCTTTTCCCCCTTCTGCTTGTAGAGGAGGGTGACCATTGCTTTTTCTCATGGAGGCTGCCATGTTCC